ACCGGGAAAAAAAAGGTTGGGTGTGTCTTCATCATCGATTCGAAAATAAAAGAATGATCATGTTCGTGGTCAATTTTCGCTATTGATTGTGTAACTCTAACCAGGCTTGGCTCATTCAAGGTTCTTGATTATTGATGAAGAATCATTATTATTAAATGATTGCGTGAAATCTTTCGTTGTCATCGTATTGCTTGCACTGTGACCAAGGTTGTTTGTCCATTGTCGTATTGATTTGCCGTTATTTTCATTGCATTATTAGCTAGACATACATGTCTTGTGGTCCACCTATTATGAGCATAAATCGTATGATTGTGTGCTGTTGCTTCATTGCAGTGCAATATTCATTTATATTTCAGTGTTTTTTTCTTTCGTTGGCGGCTCCGAATGAGAAAATATGCGAAGGAAGCGAAACGTGTTGAGTTCGCAGAAAAAAAAAACAACGAAGAAATGAAATAAACATTGGTATTCGATCGTGAACGGTAAACGATTCGGTTCAATAAAATAGTTGATTTACGATGACTGCAGACATGCGCCCTGAGCTACATTCATAGCAACGGACTCACACACACACACACACACTTAACGGACCGAGTAGCTCAGAGAACGCGAAGCAACACTGAATATAGAGAAGTAGAGGAATACGAAAAAAAAATGGCAACAACACAGCCAACTAACTTCGAAAAATGAGCACAAACGGAATGCGGTACGACAACCGAGTCAACTCAAATAGCAAAGAACGAAAGAAAAAAAATCATCGCTCGCGCGCGCGCGCTTATAACGCAAAAATGATTCATGCAGCTTACGTGGAACTTAACAAATAAAGATTGAAAACGTTTCAATTCGATCTTAATCACTAAGTATGTGGATTAATCAAGAGTACGATTTGTTGGATCAATCGACATTGGACGAAGACAAAATCCGCATGTCATTCCAACACCAACAAATGTAATACCAATTTAAACTTCAATGGAATTCAAACTAACTGACTGGGCATACAAATACAGACTTCTTCCCGTCGCAAAAGAAAAAGAAGAAGTAGAAAAAAGAAGAAAAAAAACGACATTTAACCAAGGTCATTTGTTTGACAAAGAGCAATGCCTCGCAGCGTACCCGGTTCCTGTTTCGCTCTCTATTTATTCTATTTCGCTATTCTCTATTTCGCCTGGCATCGATTACTACTTCTCCTTCAAATCGACCGAAGAAGAATAACAGGAGGAACAAAACTGTGAACAAACAGTCAAAAAACGAACGAAGAAAACAAATGAGACATACCGTTCACGTATGATTTATCCGTGTGTTTTTTCTTTAATAACACAAAAAATGTCGAAACCAAAATGGAACTACACTCGTGCACAAAATGAATTCGAAGATAAATAAAAAAACTAACAAAAATATAGAACGACGACAATGGCAATAATAAATGAGTACGACTTTATCAACTAATAACCAACTACAAAATGCGCAAAGTTTAATGTTCTTGCTACACATTTCTCTGGTGTCGTGATCGAATCGAGTGTGCCGGTGTGCGTTTGTTCACATTGTGTGTCGTGCACCGCAAATATGCGACGTTAATGTAGATTTTATTGCAAATTGTTTCCAAATACACACATGCACAATTGTTCGTACGAACAGCGAGTCCTATTTGCTTTTGGCATCTATCGTTCGGTGTTTCTGCCCAGCTAACACGCTCGGTGTATGTGTGTATGCTACACACAGTGAGCACAGGCATACGCACACATACCGTACACACCAAGCGAATGCTTGCTAATATTTATTTTGCATCTTGTGTTACGTCCGAATTGATATTATTGTGTAGAGTAACGACGCAGTTGGAAAATACCACATTAAAAGCATCTGAGTAGCTGTAACGAATAGAGGAGAGAAAAAGCCAACGAGCTATAGTCTCTGTTGATAAGAGCGAACGTTTATGATTGTAGTTGTTGCTTTCCAGCCACAGCGAGTATGTTTGCACACAGACAGGCACGCACACGAAATGGATCACACAGTGCTGCACAGTATCCAGTCGACTGTGTCGTATGCTTGGTTAGATCGTTGCAATTGAATCGGTAGTGGTGACAAATACACCGGTGCTCTCGCCACCTTGTTCAGCTCGCATTTGGCCAATTGTTTTAACTGGCACAGTGTGCGTATCACAAACCATTCAGTGTGTCGATTCGGTGTGTATGTAGTATGTGCGAATTGACCAATAGGCAATAGATAAAGTCAATTGAAACGAACGCACCGAACATTCCATGGCACATCAACTTTGCGTATATGATGATGATGATGTGGTTGCGTTTCATTGAAATAAAAATATTCCAAATCACTTGATCATTTTTTTTCTGTATGATTGTGTGTTTGCTCAGTTTTCCTCTTCGATTCAATATTTCGTTAAATTCTTTTGTCTGACGCTAGTTCGCTGGTGTGCGTTCTTTTTTTCTATCTTTCTTTCTTTTTCATTCTGTTTCTATTTTTTTTTTGGTTTAGCGCGATTACGGAAAAATGTATATTTAGACAGCGCAAAGTACAAAAAAAGCTAGCATTTCTGCGGTTTATAGCATTTCAAATGTGGCACGAATATCGCTGGTCTTCGTAACGTTCGTTCGAAATAATAAGGGTACATAGAACGGGCAATGCCGATGCATTTTGTGTCGGTACATGGTGAACGCCACTCACACATCACTCACATATACAAAACATAATTTATAATTTGAATAGATGAGCGCACTTCTGGCATTCCATGGTACACAGTGTGTATGTGTGGCTGTTCACTGTTCAGGCGAAAAACTAACTCACAAACAGATTGATCTTTGCAAATGAGCAACGTAACAAATAATGCATTTCTATTGACGATTGAACATCAATCGGACGCAAGCGCTCATTCTCTCGCTCTTCCTCCCTTCCTCTCTCTCGATCCGCCTCTATTTCCCTCACACACTCTCTCTCTCTCACTCGTTCGCTTTTTCTTACTCGCTGGCTTTATTTTTCCGGCCAGAAATCATTCCCGCTTGCTTGTTCGCTACATTGTTGCTAACAACATGTACATTCTTTTTCTCGCAATTGATTTTGTAGCCTTCAATTATGAATATTGTGGTATGCTTGGAATCAGATTTACATTTCTACAATTTCTAATTTTGCCAACACACACGCAGCTAATAATAATCATGTACACGATGGTGTATATGATGCAAAATTGACATTCTCTGAGATCATAATCTAATCATATTTATTGACGCTTGCAAATGAAAATATGAAATGACACTTTGATGTGTGTGTTCTTGCTCGTTGTTTTCTATATCACTCGAAATCGGTGTGTTTCCATTTGTTGATTCCATTTGCAAAATGTCATTTGCGGAAGATTCCTACAATGTATGTTGGTTATTTCTGTTTTTTTTTTTCTCGTTTTGTTCCCATTGGAAGCGTGTGTATTTCGATCTTATCAGAAGATGTCATAATGTGTACGTTGGGAGCGGAAAAAAGGTCATATGATTTCGACCGATTCGAGCGAGCTAAATCACTAAATTCCATGATGTGACTCAAACAATGGTAATGATCAACGCAATTTTACTTTATCACAATATAAATAATAATTTTCAACTCAAACACCGAATGCCATGTTCCCATCGCGGTCATTTGACTGCTAATGTACACTGCCGATTACATTGCAATGCGAAGTGTAAAAAGCCGTCGAGGCAAACAGAAAAAGAGCAGAAAAAAAATTTAGTCATCTTTCTCCTCTAACCATAGAACTGGCGTCAGTTCTGGTCTGCTAGGAACACATACTTTTCTACTACCGATTAAAACGAACGAAATGGAAGGAGAAAAAAATCATCGTTAAGGTGATTTTTATGTTTTCATTCAGCTGTGTATTTGCTCGTTGCGTTATTGTAGTTTGTTGTTGTTGCTGTGTCCATTGTTTGAACGCTTTTTTTCGCATTTCGTTTAAAATAGAGAAGAATTTGAGGGAAGATCTATAAAAATACCACTGGTTTTAGTATCTAAGCGTCGAATTGATCTGAAACTCGATGCCAATGCTGTTGAAACAATTTTTCTTCGGTCTTTCTTTCTCCTCCTTGCCTGTGGATGAGTTGTACGCCAATCGCAATAAACCGCTTTTACAAAAATAGAATTTTCGATGTGAACGATCTCTTCTTATTTTGTTGAATGGCAATAAAAAAGACCGCACAACGGAGTGAGAGAGAGATAAAGCGAAATCGTGCTACAATTTAATGTCCCACGCGCATTAATTAAAAATTGATATTTGACTTAGCCTCTTTGCCTAATCAAGTTAAGCTGGCGAAAACGGAACAGTCCGTCTTCTCTTCAGCAGGTCCGAAAAAAATTCTACGAAATATGGCTTCATGTGCTGGTCAAAAGCCCTCTCTGAGCTCCTGACGTGTGATAATTAATTGTCATGGATTCGATGGCCGGCACTTAGCATAATTTCATATTCTTTCGCTCGGAATTAAATTGATATTTCAATTTAGATACGAAAATTGGACGTAGTTGAAGCACTCAATTTGGGTATTGAGGTCCGGCAAACTGAATCAAATGAAAACTAATTGGTCTTTAAAAATGAATTATTATGATGCGTAATCTTTTTTTTTTGTTTGGCCAGACAACGCCCTTCGTTTAACTTGTATAGCTGCGTACGAAGAAGGAAAAATATAAGAGAAAAGAAGTGATATCGACTTGATAAGAAAGAAGAAAAACAAAAACAAAAACGCTAGATGATTAAATGCGATGGGCTAATCGCTTGAGGAGTTAGAATCATCTGCTTTCACTAAAACAAACCAGTTTCACGCCAAAAATATAATATAATTGTCAGAATGACTTTTTAAAAATGAATAATAAAAAATAATATTTATCAGGCACGTTTAAAAATATTGCAGCGTTGAACAGCAATCAATTATTTACATACACATCAATCTCTGTACCCGGTTTCAACGCATACCAACACAAAAAATACACACGTTTCATATTTAAATCCAGTTCGATTCGAGTGGCACGACGATTGCGTCGTGTTTTTATGTGGATGTTTTTGTTTTTGTTGACACTCACAGTAGCACTGATAAAGCAACATTGATCTTGTTGTCAGTAATACAGCTATAAATATAAGGCTGCCTTTACATCGGCGTAAACATTCACATTCACATTCTTTTAGTAGTCGTTTGACTTGCACCAAATTCACAGTGTCACAACAGATTGTCAGATTTCGAGAGGAATTTTATTTTCTAAACCGCATTTATTCAAGGAATATTCGATCAACACCATTTATATCAATATTTCTGCCTTTGAATTCTTTACATTTTCGGTTGAAATATGGCTAAAGCCGGTAATTCCTGTAAGTTTTTACTCTGTTTTGCTTAGACATAGAAATGACGATAAAAGAAATTTGACAATTTGACAGCTCACTGGTTCATTGACATTTTAAGTAAAATACGAAGAATTATTTTTATAATTGAATTATTCTGTTTGAATGACCACGATTTCATCGCGATAAAACGTGATAATAATTAACAAAACATCGTTTGAACGATGTGATTTCATTGAAATGATACCTTTCCATTCGTTATCCGCTAATGAGATCTTTGAATGATAAAATGCATTTTTCACGTTGCGATCAACATTTTAACGTTTGAACATTTTTCATTCGCTAACAGAAAACTAAAAAAGAATAATAAATAATTCTTTGTTCTAGGTTGTCGTCATGGCCCTGGCTATGCATCTCCTTTGGATGCAATGAAAAATGGTCCACGCGAGAAGTTGCTGTACATCATTGCTGTTCAACCGGATTTAAAGCATTCGGATGGTGATTACTTGGCAACGGTTGATGTCGATCCAACGAGCAGTACATACAGTCAAGTCATTCATCGTACGTATACGAAGGCCAAAGGAAATGAGCTGCATCACAGTGGTTGGAATACGTGTTCGAGCTGTTATGAAGTGAAAGATCAAGATGTTGTTATTCCGAAGCGTGACAAATTAGTTTGTCCGGCACTCAATTCGAATCGAGTTTACGTGTTTGATATGAGCCAAGACGAACGGAAACCCGTTTTGTATCGCGTAATTGACAGCACCGTTTTGAATGAGCACAATGTGAGTGCGCCGCATACAACGCACTGCATGTATGACGGAACGGTATTGATTTCAACAATGGGTGACCGTGATGACAATGCAAAAGGTGACTTCATTCAATTTGATAATCAGTTCAATTGTCTTGGCACATGGGCACGTGGCGACAAACAACCCGATTGTGGCTATGATTTCTGGTATCAGCCGCATTTTGATGTACTTGTCGCTTCTGAATGGGGTAATTCGATTTTGTTTGGAATCAATTTGATATTTTCAAGAGTAAAACTTTGTCAAGTTTTTCTTTAATCCGAATTTTATTTCTTAAATAAAACTAATCAAACTGAATCTCTCTCGAAAGGTGCACCAAAGCTGTTTAAACGAGGTTTCAAAATGAGTGACATCGAAAATCCAAAGGAATATGGTCGCACATTGAACTTCTATCGCCTTTCCGATCACAAGCTTTTCCAAACAATCGACTTGGGTACAGATGGAATTACACCATTGGAAGTGCGATTTTTACACGATCCGCTCAAGGCAATCGGCTTCGTTGGATGTGCATTGAATTCGAATTTATACTGTTTCTATCGACCGAATGAAAACGACGAACAATTCGTGTGTGAAAAAGTCGTTGATATTCCAAACAAGAAACTGTCGGTTGACGGCGTTGAAACGGAGATCGGCGGAATGATGGCAGATATTCTACTTTCGTTAGACGATAAGTGGTTGTATATGAACAATTGGTTACACGGTGATGTGCGTCAGTATGACATAAGCAATCCGAAAAAGCCGATTTTGAAAGGTCAATTGTTTTTGGGAGGCGTTGCCAATCGCAAACCAAACGTTCGCATCGTTGACGATAAGGAATTGGACTATGAACCAAAACCTGTATTTATGAAAGGCCGTCAATTAGAAGGCGCACCGCAAATGTTACAATTGTCTTTGGATGGGAAACGGCTTTATGCTTCATCCAGTTTATATTCACCGTGGGATCGTCAATTCTATCCGGATATGGTAGCAAAAGGCGGTCACGTGGTGTTGATCGACGTGGATACCGAAGAAGGTGGGCTTACATTAAATCCAGATTTCTTCGTCGATTTTGGCGCCGAACCGAATGGCCCAGCCTTACCACACGAGATTCGTTACCCTGGCGGCGATTGTACTTCCGAAGTTTGGCTAGCTCAAACAGCAAATAAATAAATCGTTTCACAACTTATCGCAAACAAAAATGTTTTTATACCATTCATAATGGCACAAAGTCCATAGAGAGGTCATCATTTAATCAGAGATTATTTCCTATTTAGGAAACATATATGGTCAATTCTACGGACCTGTAACGTTACCAGTGGACTGTATATGTTTAAATCTCCGCTATCTATGAAAGATATCAAAAAACTGTCGAGGTATAAAATGTAGCTGAACATGAGTACGATCATTCGCAAATAATAAACTCGTGAGTTTTTTTTTATTTGTTTGGAGATATGGGCAAATTAGTTAAGTGGTTCAAAATTCGTAGGTTTTCATACATTTTTTTGTCATCTCTCAACTTGAACGCTCATATTTCCACATAAATCAAAGAAATTCACTATTTTTCTATTTGCGAATAATAAAACACATCTAGAGCTACTTTTTATGCTTTGATAGTTTTTTGATATTTTCTATGCTAGTGGAGTTATGAGCAAATGCAGTGCACTGGTAACGTTACTTGTACGCCGTAGAATTGACCATATATTGATGTACCAAGTGAGTTGCACTTTCACTCGTCAATTGAAATAAATATCATATTTTACATTACAAAGTTGTTGTTTAATTTCCCATAACATCTTTAGTCTGGAAATGGTGTTCATTTCCCGAGCATTTGTTTGCTCGGTAATTATTTGTCTCATTGGTCTAAATTGGTTGTCATCACCTTTTTCCTCTCTTTCACTCGTTCTCTCACTCATGGACATGGAGTACGCAATGCGTCTGCTTGTCGATTGCGTTTGTTGTATCAACAAAGTAATCTTGCGAAACGGACAACCATTGAATGATGAACCATTCTTATGTAAATATTGACGGTTGTTTCAGGCAAAGTGATAAATGCTACAATGAGGGAGCATCGGTGTTCGAACAAAGTAGCTCACAATTCAAGATGTTGCTGTCCATCAGTACAGGGGAAAAAAAAGAGAGAGAGAGCGAGCTGTAAATGAATAAAAGTGTTAATTAAATGGCCCGAAGGAATATTAAGTTGTCAGACTACAATGTAATACTATGTCTGGCCGATTGTGGTTTCGATTGCATGCACGGGCCACGATGTGTCGTTTACGTTCGTTTTTTTCCTTCATTTTTTTGTTGCTCTCGTTCAGTTGTTGGATCAATATATGTTAATTGGTTAATGATAATTACTCCGGCTATCTCGTCTGCATATTCGATTTCAGCACATTTGTGGTAAATTTGATTTGTGAATTGTAAATGAAAACCAAATATGCACGGGCATTGTTATGATGATGATATGACAGCGAATGCCCTCGAGATGTGGATGTTGTGCAAAATGTGCTTGACACATGACGTCCGCGTTATCATATATTAAAGTGGAAATCTCTATACATCTTTTTTGTGGCCGTTTCCCAATTCTTATTTTTCGTGTCCGTGTGTGTGTGGCTAATTTTCACGTGAAATTTTTACTTTTCGTATCTCTGCTGTGAGGAATGGCAGAAATAACAAACAATAAAATAAATGACGTAAGTCTTTGGCTCTTGGAAGAAAGAATATGAATAAGCAAAGGAGATGAAAACGAAATGGACAGGCTATTGTTCCAGTGTCGACACATTTGGAACGCATGTATTCGCATGATTTTCGATTGAAATAGTCTGAGTGGCCTGAAATTTCTTCGAAAATGATATTATCCAAAATCACCGAAAATACTCGGAACTGCCGCCATGCAATGCGAATCTATTTACGAAAACACAAACATACCGGCAACGACAGGCCTATCGATGGGAACGGGCAACCGGAACGGAAATACCAATCCCTGCACATTGCCACAGTTTCTGTTGTTTTGCGCCATACTGGTCGGTGCATGTTTTTGCGCACACAAACAAAAATAACATAAAAATTCCTTTGGTTACTCTCGTCGGTCGTACGATAGACGCGAGATGAAAACACAAAACACACACACACGAAAAAAAGGAGATTAAAAATAAAATACATTGAGTTATTTCCTGTAATAATATTTTGCTGTCCAAATTGATTGCTTGTACAAAGGATTCGATTCAAGTGAATCGTTTACGAACACACCACAATGATGACGCGCGGGCACAACATCAATGTGCGTTCGACGGCGACAAAAAAAATCTGTTGTACATTTTGTTACTAAATTGCTATCTTATGCTCTTTTGCTGTAAACACATTGTACCCAGAAATTCACAAGAATTGAGTGATTTCAAAGTATTTTAATTGTTTTATTTAACGGATACTTCGATGAACCGACAAATGCCAACCGAATATTTTCTCGGGAGTTCGCTTTTTTTCGTTTGTTTTTATCATTTTTATTTCCGACATGATCGTAGCGAAATATAATAACGAATATATATTCGAAGGTACCGTTTTTTTTTTCACGCGTCTTGAACATTGTTTCATTTTTAGACACTCATTAGCGCAGAACAACCGTACTTCACTCTTCTTCTTTTTTTCGTGTGTTTGAAATGATAAAGCGTCAATGCATTCGATGGCCAACAGAACATACACCGATGGAAGGTTTTGTCATTTCGTTGCTTGTTCATTGAGCCAGTCTCGCTCAACTTAGAATTTGAAGAAATAAAGAAATCTTAAATTCCACACGAGCTCAAACCTCAAGAACAACAAACAAACGGACCATACAAAACAGCTCGAGGCTGTGCGTATTCCACTTAGCAGGTGGGAGATTTTCTGAAGTTCACAGATGTGTTTGTTCGTTCATACCAATTGATATGATTCTCGTTAATTTGCGAAAATACCACTGATCATTACATGTATGTCTCGTCTTTTTTTACAAGTAAATAATAATCATTTGCACGGCGTTTACGGTACATGTCATTAGAGCTCCACAGAGTTGTATGTTCCGAACAACACATACACACACATTGCACAGAACAAGTAACGTTTATTAACTGATGTGTTGTTGTTAAAATTCCTGTTCTGGCTAATAAATTGTGAAGCTTGCCGATTTTACGGCACTGATGCATTTTATTGCATATTTCTTTATAGCAATCATTTTCGCCATTTTTAGTTGCCTTTTTTCGTGTGTGTGTGTGTGTTACTTTTTGATTGACGGTATTACCAATTGACATGGTTCTGGCCATGTTTAATGTCGGCACACCATTTCTGTTCAGTTGATTTGTGTGCCTGCTTCTTTGGCACTTCTCCGTTTTTTTCGCCTTATTTTCATCAGATGAAATCATGTTAATGGTTTTATTATTGCTCATGTCTTATTCTGATAATTGTTTTGCTTCCGTTTATTTCGCACTTTAAGATAAGGACTCGGTGGCTTTTACGGCCAAATGTGATCATGATCTTTAGTGATCAAGTGAAACCCGCTGACATATCTCTTTTCTTTCTTGGCAAAAGCATGCACGAAAACCACAAGCTATTTATCAAGATTTCAACCCAAACAACATTATTCCAAATGAAAAGACAGTGTTGAATTGTTTTTTTATCGATTTGAATATCTTTGTTTTATTTGACGAAATATCGAGTTTTGTTTTGATGTTTTAATTAAATGCAATTTTCTTACAATAATTTTTCTTCATTTTTTGTGTGTTTGTGTTTTTCCTTCAAAAAGACTGATTAATTGCAACATTAGAAGATCAAGAGAATCTATTATCTTAATATATGCACGAGTAATTAAGGTTTTGTTTTTACGATTATGATTACCGAAACAAACAAAAAATAATAATTTTGTTGAAATAACTTTAGCATTATTTCAATCTTTAAAAAAATGAATAATTCATTGAATTTTTTCGAGAATATTTTGTTTAAGACTTATTTGCCAACACACATACACGTGCAGTGGCTCCTAATTAAAAACGACACAAGAGATTATTCCAAGTACTATAAAACAAATTTTTCGGTTAATATTAGTAGTATTTTATGTTTCCGACAGAAACAGGTTAGATTTTACCATATATATGGGTTAATATTAGAATCAAAGAATTATTAATTATTTTCTAAAACACAAAGACTCATTCCACAAAGTACAATTAAATTTCGATGATGGGAGCGGAAGGTGGTCTAATATAAATATTGTAAATTTCATCACGAGAAAAGGACACATTTGACAGAAAAAAAATATACAAGCTTAAATACAAAAAAAAAAGTCGAAAACTCGAAATGAATACACTTAAAAATCTATGAAACGAGCACAAATCAAACGACATATATACTTAATTAGAACAACGCTGCAATTCCTTTTTTCTGCTTTTCTTTTCTCGTTCAAAGAATGCGAAACTAAAAACAGCTTCACACACAACATAAACAGACGTACAATAATGAAAACCGATTTTAAAAAAGGAAATTCGTCAATAAATTAAGAGAAATGTAGATAATTTTCGGTTGTTGTCGATATTCGTTCGATCCGTCTCTGTGGCCGCGTACCAAGTAACGAATGTGTGTTTGTGAGAAAAAAAATGAAGATGAGTTATTCATAGCGGTGCAATGATAATACTACGCGCTCTAACTACGTTATGCAAACTACATGACGTAGAGCACTACGCGCCTCGACACGTTTGTATGGGCAGTGCACCGCTATGGAGTTATTGCTGCTTGCTGTCTTGCTTTTACTGCTGCGTCTGCGGATGATGATGATGGAAAATATTTTCGGAGAAGCTGATGTAATTGTTGTTGATCGTTTGATGGATGGCCGTTGAGAGCAACATTTGTGTCAATGGTGGTAGGCAATAGTTCACCTGGCGCTAAGACGATGTCGTTGGTGCTGGCGGCACAAACGGCGTCCATCGCAAGTAATTCCGATCGATTTTTACAACCGCTCCGCGACGTTTCACACGTTCCGCGTATTCCTCAAGTACATCCTGCAACGAAAAAAAATACACACACAACCCCATTCATAAATATATCAAAATGATTTTAAACAAAAATTGAGGAAAAAATTTAAAAGCAACAACCATCAATCATGATAAATTAATCAGGCGACAGCAATTCTCAGAAATGAAACGATTCGCGAAGAATTTTTATTTTTTTAATTCTTCCGTTCATATTCCATTGACGCACGGTCTTTCGTTTATAATTAATTATCTTATTTAAACTCTGGCCTCTGTGCATAGGCAAAAAAATAAGATTGTCGCAACTTCGAGTGTTGACTCTTTCACTCAATAGGCACTTATTTCAGGCCTTTGCAAATATCACTTTGTTCTTCCTTTTTTTTCTCTCTTTTGAATGAAACAAACAATGGGAGAAGTTTGTGTGTTATCTTTGCGACGTACTTGAATGGAACGAATCTTTGGCCATATAATCCAATAAAGGGGTGTGCTCAACGTATTACGGACAATTTCACAATGATCATTCCCTGAATGCAATACAATAATATTACATTTTATTGCAGATAATAGGAATATAATTACGCGTGTTGGAAAAAACGACTTTGCACAACTTCCACCGCGAGCCATTCGGAAAAAAAGGGCCAGACAATGCGCGCCCAGCATATTTACATTTGCATTTGTGATGGGTTTTCTTTATCTTTTTTTTCTACTTCTTCAGCTAGAAGAAGCTTAAGCTTGTAAATGCAAGGCAGTGCATGCAATCTCATTTACGTCTGAAGAATTATTGTGCTCAAGCACAATGAACCATTGGTCATTGTATCGTACGTGCCAGAGCACAACCATTGTGTATGAGTGTGTATAGCTTATGAATTTGCGCCTCCCGCGCAGAACACTGACTCTCAATTGGAATTGTTGCACTCGGCATTGGAAGCAGGTAGCACACAAAAATTGAATAATAATTTACAGAATTTGCCATCACCACATAATTATACGCATTTTCTTTTTTCTTCATGTTCTTCGCCATTTTTAGTTGCCTACCGAACCAATTCGTTTGGTCTGCCTACAATGAGGTAACATAAATTAAATACCACAATGAAATAGCGTGCTATCTTCCACGTTAAGTAAACGCTGCTCGAAGCAAAAGATAGGTTTCTGTTTACATTTCTCTCGATTTCTTCATTGGCGATCATTTGTCGAGGACATGAATTGTTGATCAGCTGAGCACATTTCGAGATATAATTTAGACTTTAAAAATCGACATGATTCCCAAAAAATCTACTTTGACACATCCCATTAGCCTAAGTATTACGTCAAATGATCCACTTGACACGAGTGATAAAGATGCATATAAAAAAATTATTAGTATGCTAATGTATTGCCATGTCAATCACTTCATACACACACATTTCGATGCATCGAATAATATTACATTTGAAGTACTTGTTGTTTTTATCTTCCGTCAAAATTATATAGCTCGATGCAAGTACTCGTCGAATTAAAAATCTATAAAAACATGTCGAAGAGTGTTTATCATGTATAATCGTATCAAAATTGACATTGTCTACACGAGGATATTAATAAAGAAGAAAATTGTGGTTTAATTAAAACGAGAATATTATACCGAAAAACAATTTCATCATATTATTTACTTTGGCTGACATGATATTAAAATTAATTTAATTCACTTAAATTTTCGCATAATTTGTAATTTTGGCTATGCTGGTGAATCATGCATGCATTCTGTCCACGGTTACAAACAAGAGAAAAATGAAGCAAAACAGAGAGACGATTCTCGATGCTAATTTCGTAGAAATGGCAGGTAATATCATCAATATGACCGTTTGAAGTGTGTTCTGGAACGTTAAACGGCCGTTGAAATTTTGCCGGGCGCGCACACATACAACTTAATTCCGTTCTAAGAAAAATGCGTTTCGTTTTTGGTGTAAGTGCGACCAAAAAAGTTTTACCGACAGGACCATGTGCAGTGCACACCATCCATTGACGAGTGTTTTCCATGAGATGGGTAACATTTTTATCACACCTTTGAATGTATCGCATCAGCGTCCAATTAAACAATCAGTTAAGCTAAAGAGTTTGAGCCCATCGAAGAGAATTTTTCGATTTTTCGTCAAGAGCGAGAGCGAGAGAGAGTGAATGATTTTGGTGAATTTGAATTTCCGAATTCCCACATCGAATTACGGTTAATGGCGGTACTTTTCGTGCTCAATTATACTTGGCGGCTCGAATTTTCTGCAAAAAATATACGCAAGATTACTTCGTATGTTCGTGTAATGGGAAACGGAGCGGTCTCTCGAGCGACAACACCATCGATTTTTCTCTTTTTTAGCCGTTTTTGTTTATCATCAACCGCCGATTAAAAAGAAGTCGTGTACATCACATTCGTCAACACTGTGTAACACAAAAAAAGTGAGGAAATGATGGTAAAGAATAACAATAAAAACCATCTGTTGAAACTTAATTCATGCACTTATTGAATGGTTGGATGAAACGAAAAGTTGAAAGGGAAAAAAACTCATGTTCAAAGCGAGACATGCGTCAAGTAAACTGATGTGCCTTCAACGAAGATTAGCTTAAGAAGCGGCAGCAGCATGAAAACACACATCGTACATTACTTCAACAGCTTACTCGTTATCTTAATTAAATTATTTTACATCCATTCCAATACGCTCATTTTCGACTGCACAACGCACGAATGCTGAGAAAGAAACATGGGACATGCAATCGCCGAAATTTTTCGATGATGTTTCCACGCGGCTTAAAGAATAGAGTATCGCTGCAAGATGCAATTCTTTGCAATTATGCATTGGAAATGTGTTCGCCAATCATTTCGCTTTTGAGTTCAATCAAACTGGAATGAATGAACTGGAGGAAAAGCACCCAACATTTCGTTCGATGTCGAGCATTATCTGTCAGCGGCAACCATTTTTGGGTGTTATCTTAATATGGTGACGGTTATTTGAGCGGCTTTTTACACTGCCGAAAAGCACATCAAACGAAAAAAATCACTTCTGGTCGTTTTTAGCTTGCCGCATGACATTGAACTCGACAACGAAAATTGGTTCGTTCCATTGCGACTATGAATCGAAACGATCAATTCGATTTAGTTCGAAAATTATCTGCGACGTGAAAACGGGCCGTTTCATTTTTAAGTGTTGTTTTGTCATTAATCTGCGTCATCTCGCGTGGACTGCATTTCCGTGCCAGAGGTGGTGTTACTGTTGAAACGTGTCGTTTAAGAGACAGATAGAATCGGCTATAAAACAAGTGCATGATAACGCTAAAAGCGCTTCCGATTGTTCATAACATGTGAATCGAAAGGTCATGAATCGTGAACACATCGCACGCAATGCGACACAAATAATAGCACGTGTTCACCATATCGAATGAGTTTTATCCATTAACATCGTGCTCTTTGTTCTGTGTTGAATATTTACTATGCGCGAAATTCAGTCACCGGCTCAACACCGGCGGCATTACGACCACTGACTTCATCGAAAAATGAGTTTCGACTGTTGATTCAACATGTCAATTGCCTTCCTAGACGAATTGACCACCACTATTCATGTCTATATCGATTTGTTTTCTGTGTCTATAGACAGGCAATAGCCTAAGACTGTATGTCTAGCGTTCATTACACGCTTTTAATTAATATGAGTAATTTAAAGTGAGCGAGAGAGAAAGAGAAAGAGAGAGAGAGAGAGAGAGAGAGAGAGAGAGAGAGAGAGAGAGAGAAAAAGACAAAACAAAAAAATGTCGAAACAAAACACTTTAATTCGTTTACTGTAATCGCATGTACATAATAGCATAATATATTGTCTGGATGATGGACGCTAATAGCGTTAATTATGTTGGCCGACTTTCAGTTGAATTATATGTACTTTTCGTTCGGTTGTAATTCATCAAGTGAGTGAAGACGAGCTGAACAACGAACCAACGCGTAAATGTGAGCATTTATAAAATGCGAATCGAACGCACTATTAGCATTTTTTGTGGCGTTCCATGCCTTTGAGTGCAATCCAATTGGATTGCTGAGCAAGCGAGAGAAATGTAAAAAAAATGGTTTTCTTAATGCGAATGAATTGTGCACATGCATTTGGGACAGAAAAACGCAATGCACACACCTCATGAAATTAAAATATATCGCAGAAATGATACAACTATATGTAATATGATAAGTATCTGCAAATGCGATTGAGGCACAAAAGCGAAACAAATGAAAGACGAAACAAAAATATTCGCCAGAAATTAAAATTGTTGTTTCTGTGCTTTGGCTGTGGCCATTGTTGTTGCATTTAACAAGAGAGTAACGAGAAGAAAATAAGTAAATTATATATGGAAATGTATTTTCGATGCACTGACACATAAAAGTGCAAGAGATAGTAGCAGCAGCAGCAGCAGTAGCGGTGGCAAGCAAGCGAGCGACCGATAGTCAGGAGAAAGAAAGAAATGATGGCCCTGTCGTAGCCGTAGTAAAGCGTAAAAAAGGTAAATGATGTGTAATTGATCATGGTTTCCTTCTTTTCGTTCAAAGCATTCCATTTCACTGACAATAAAAATTATATCACCACTTTTGTGCCGTGTAATGCTCACTGGATATTTCGCATGTTTCGTGCACACTATCTTCAAATGTGAGATTCTTTCATAAATGCAACATTTCAACGGAAAAAAATAAATAAATGCTTAGAGCCGAGGCTCGAAACATAATCCATCGTCCATGATTTAATTAAAAATTGGTCGGATTCTCATTTCGTGGTTTTTTATGTATTCAAAATTGATGTTCTTGAATATTTATGTCGCATTTTCAAGAGTTTTCATTTCGTTTGAATTTAATACTTTGCATATTTTATATATCGTATCGTTATAGGCTCCTCTTTGTACTCGGTGTCTTTTTCGTGAATGTATAAGCAGCGGACGCGTGAGAGACCAATCGCTATGCTAAAATCCAATTGCAAACAAAGAACGCTTAAAAGCGGATATTTTTTGTAAGCATGCAACGAGCTGGTCGTTTGAAAGGATTCAGCATACATTTGATAAGATTGTGAAGAGAGGCGAAGCGAGAGAGAATGTGTGTGTGAAACAGAAAGAGAGAAAGAGATACTGAATGCGAATCAATTGGAAATTTATTAAACTTTAACACACACACATTGACCAACCAACCACACGACCGGCCAATTGGAAGACGATAAACGTACAAACGGTGGAGAGATCGCATTTTGTACTTGTCTTTTTATAATGTCGTTAAAGTGATAGAGGAAATTTGATTAGTTCGGCTCTCTCTCTGTGTCGCATACACACAGATTCAATGCAGCGACTAGTGGCACGTGCCACAATGAATGCAATCTGTTCGGATCACAGCGTGCAATGGACAGAGGTTTCCAGTTCTTGTCGTCGTATTTTTTTTCCATTACTTTGGTTGTCGTTAAGGAAACACTACTGTGGCCGAGCTACTGTTGCTGTGCGCCCGTCGTAATCAACCCAATGAATGCATATATATATATATACAACGTATACGCACCTGCTTCTTAAGTATAATATGTTTGCCTTTCCAGTACTTCATCATGCCCAATGCTTGTAGTGTGCTCACAATATCGTACGAATTTATGGCCATTTCCTAGAATTGAAAAATCGAAAAAGACAGAAAAAGATTTATTAGTTGAAATGTAATGATCCTTATTCGTTTTTATTCTCTATAAGGTGGCAGAAGAAAAACAAAACGGGAATATAAGTGAAAAATATCCTTGCAGGTAAATGATTTTCTGTTCAATTAAACTAACAAAACTCTTCTCAATTTTATAGGTTTTTGTAATTTTATCGTTTAATTTTTATTATGCTCTCAGAGGTGGTTGTACTTTTTTACGATATAAATTGCAATTCACCAAGTAACAAAAAGCCAAAGAACTCCAACTCGCAATTCTTGTATCATTTACTACAATTACTATTGCGTTTCTGTTATATTACAATAAAACAATAAAATGTTGTAGATTAATCCATTCGCTGCGTTTTCTCCATGTTCAATGACAACGGAGGATTTCTTTTGCTTCTTCTTCCTCCTCCTTTTTCAACACATAAAACAGTGAGACAGAAACGATGGAAAAAAAACCCAAAGGAATTCCAAACGGACACCTGCAACTATGTGTCAAGAATTATGAAACGATTACGATGACATGATTGCGTTAAAAGAACAAAGAATTGATTAACATTTTAAAGCGATCGCGCTATAATTCGCATTCTGAATATGGTGCATAGGTAGCGTAGAAATAAAACCGAGCAACCAGAAGCAGTGGCAGCAGCAACAAGTGAAATATGCCAACAAAACTGACGTTAATTGAAAATTATGATAAAACAGAAGAAGAAATCGAAATCCGAAGAGGAAACAAAATACAATAAGCTTTTGTGATAATGATCACAAACGGAATCCGTAATGAGTTCTCAACGATTTAACAATTTTTATCGCATTAGTGAGATGAGGAGGTCTTTTCATTTCGATTCCGTTCCATTCTTTCGTTTGCACCCATTCGCCAAGCTCAAACTCACACATACATTCTGTATGGGTCTATGTCCCGCGTTGACTCACGGGCCGGTTTCGCCTCTACACGGCGGTAAGAGATGATTATCGTGGCATAATTACAGTTTTTGTACATAATTACTTAAGAGTGGATGAAAACAAACCGTTCTGATAATTTATTCAATTATAAACTAGTTTAGTCAAGGAAACATTATATAGCGCAGCGCCCAATAAAAATGACGACGATTGGCCGGGCCGTGAAATGAATGCGAGAGAGTAAAATAAATAGGGGGAGACTAAATGATTACAATCGATCGGGATGAGTTTATTGTTGTTCCGATTTTGTTTTCGATTTGTTGTTAAAATGTTTCTTGTTCTTTTTTTATTCCGCTCTTAATGAATTTACATTCCAAATTGCGGTCTAGTTATTTGCATTTTATGGAATACAACCTAAATCGGAAAACCACTTTCATATATACCGGCCGAATGCTTACGCCGTAAAAGTGGTGGGCCAAAGCTTATGCTGCTGCTTAATCCATCGTTTAATTGGAGAGTTGAAGCTCAAAAGGGGGCGAGAGATAGTCAAATTACGGTGCGATTTGTATGCATCAGTAGCAATGTAAGCGATTGTTTCTAAATTTCTCAATTATTTGCTCATTTTCATCTTTATTTGATTTTCACATGACAAGATCCAATAAATTCAAGCGGCCGGCTACCACTATTTTACCGGCATGCGAATTTCCAGACACAATAAACAAGCCCGAGAACATACATATGCGGCGTATCGCATATTTACGCTCTCACATTCCATAACCATGCATTTGCACATATATCCACGACCGATGGTTTGTTATTACTTTGCCAATCGTCTCTCCGCACATATATTTTGTTGTTTTTGTTATTTTATTTTCAATTAGATGCAGCATGCGCTCATCAAAATATCAATTTATACAAAAACATATCCGTTGCGCGCATAAAGGTGAAAAAACACACACAACAAGAGCACCGATGATGATGATGGTAAAAACACATACGTAGAGAGAATATATACAGCACCAATGCGCAATGGCAAAAACTGTCTTCGATCCGCTCGAACAAGTGGATGGACTGTACTGGAAAGAACAGTTTGCAAAGCATTTTTTCAGTCATTGCGCACTTGATATACACACACAATAATTATTCCAATGTAATCAGTATTAATTCCGTTCTTTTTTCTCCATCGCATGGAAATGAATTCTTGCTGGCGGGTCTCCTTTTTAGGTGAACATTGCGAAACAAACATACACACACACACACACACACACTCGCGTATGCATGCCGAAAAAAAGATAAATGGCAAACATTGAGTTGCACTCGAAAAAGAGCAACAACGCAAACGCATACGCATACACACTCTCACACACAACGTGAGCGAGCCCGAGTAATTGCGATATTTGAAATATTATAGCCATAAGGAACATAATGACGAACGATATACATGGTGTAATTCAAATTTCTGTTGTTCGCTCGTTTTCAATATGATAAAAAAATTTTTTTTGCTCGTTCGTTTCGTTTCGATAATAATTTTTTATCTCAAAATGATACACGATAAATTGCATATAGCCTGTGTGCACACGTCCCCTCCTTCAGTGGCGAGTGACATCGGTTTATTAAATTAAACAAACGATTTTTATCGCTAATTAATTTTTTTTTTTCAATTTATGTTTTTAAGAAAAAAGAGAGCCCAAACACGATGAACGAAAATTGACACGAACATGGTTTTGCTTTCGTTTTAAATTGTAATTAAAAACTGGGATAATTGAGAAAAGAGAAGAACCGAAAAAAATGAAATGAATTATGAGAAAAGCCTTGTTCTTGACTAAAAAAGAAAAAGAAAATATGGTATTGCAATAAGAGTTTTGTTGAGGTTGAAGAGAGACAGAAAATGATTGGTTTTATTGCTTGTGCACGTACCTGCGAGACATCTTTTATGCTCAATGTGCTGCCAGTCCGTGAGCACAGATAATCCAATAGAACATCTTTCCAGTACGAACGATACGAAATCAAACCGAGATCAGACAATGGCTTCTCCGGCGAGCCAATTTTCCCTTCAACACGGGTCAAAAGATAACCTGAAAAGAGAGAAGCGAAAAAAAGAAGAAAACAGTTGAGAAAAGAGAGCGAAAAAAGGCACAATGAAAACACGTACGAATTAAAACATCAGAATGCAAATTGGATCACGAACCAACATTGATTGCTATCTGTTCGTGAAAAGAAGATATTACGCAGAAGAGAAAAAACAAGATGTAAGCGAAATGCGTATCAGATCCGCCATGTAGATGATCTGATGAGGAGTTGACCGAGGTGCAAGTAGAAAAAAAGTGTCATAATAATAATGACTGATGCAAAGTACTAGAGGGTGACGGCAGAGCCTGCTGTTAAATGGAATAATAAAATCCTTAACGATGATTAAGCGATGTCGCTACAAGGCTTCGATTTTGTTATTTGCATCGCTGTTACGTACTGTTGCTACTTCTGACCACACCACTTGCGGCGATGCAGTTGTGTGCTAAGTCAACATAGTTTGATATATGCACAAGTGCCGAAAAAAAAGAATGGTCATGAATTTCGCTATGATTCCATGCTTCACTTAAATTAATAACCGTCTCAACTTAATTTTCATATCTGAAATGCCATTTCCTTTGCACGCTTCGCCCATCTTCTTTGGCTTCGGCTTCTTGAGATATTGCAAACACACTTCCCTTTTCTTTCCGTGAGAACAATCGAATTAAGATTCGATGTCTCATTTTATTTGTGATGAGAATGTTTTCACATATTCATAATTAACAATAAGAAAAATGATCTAATTTATTTTAAAGCGATCATTTGCATATTTGTCTCATTTATTTTCAAACCCATCCCACTTCGCATGGTGGATTTTAATGAATTTATCAAAAATAAATAAATTGAGCCAGTTGGTGGATATGATAGCTAGCGGTAATGCAGTGTGAATGCGTGAAGAATGGCTCAAAACAACTTCATCACTCCGTCAAAGTGCATTAGATCAGGTATATTTCATATCAATGTGTCAACTTGGGATATAGTTTGGCACAAAACGAATAATGCATCTGTCGCAGAAGAAAAAAAAAGACGAAAACAAAGGCGTGCGGTGATTAATAACATTGAAATTGACATTAAATAGTTTCACCGTGCTACGCATACTGCACTTGACTTGCTGCACACACCGAGCGAAGAGGAAAAATAATCCAAAAAAATTGCGCCACTCCATCGAATTGAAATCGAGAAGAGGCATGGAGAATATATATGCGCATATTTAAAGTTAATAACAGTGTAAGCAATATTCACTAAACATTTTTTTGTTGGCCGTCGTTTATACGGTATCAAACGCTATTGAATGAACAAACATGCATTCAGATGCACTGTCAAATAATGATTCGGTTATTCGGTTGATGTTGTCACTGTAGATTAAATTTCAACGACAAGGTGGACACAACAGTGACAACACGGCTGACGAAAACAATGCACAGGGGCAATATAAATGATGGTGTATGTTTGGGAGAACCAGACAGGGAGAGATGAAGAGAGGACGAGAGGGAGAGAGTGAGAAGAGTGAGAGCTAAAAAAGAAGAATAGAGATCAAGAGCGAGATTGAGAGTAAGAGAAAAAAAGAAAGAAAGAAAAAGCGAATGGTTGTTCGAGGGAAGAAAAGAGTGAAATTGCCAATGACCACGTGAAAGTCATCTCTCTTTGCTCTGCAGCAGAAACAAAAATGCAAATTTTCCTTGGTCATGAAAGTAAAATTAAATGTTATGGAAATAAAGATATGGAAATATTGTGTAAATATTGCAATCATTTTAGCTGTTCGGCAAAGTGCAAGAGCTGCTCCTGCTGTCGCTGTGCAACAACAATGCACTCTCTCATGATTGGTGCGCGCATTCTGTCCATTCTTTTGCTTGTTGTTCAATATGTTGTGGACCCAAGGTGTGACATGTACTTTGCTTTCTTTTCGTCCAAGGTAGCCGATATCAATGCGAAGTGCATATTGCAATCATCTTTTCGCAATGACAATTTGTAATTGTTATCGTCGCTCATTTTTATTCTCATTTGACACCTGATAACGTATGTAATTATTTCGCTTAAAATTCAATTAGTTTCAATGTTGTTTGAATGGGCTGGATCGTTTTTTTTTCCTGTCTGCCCAGAAGATACTCGTTTTCGTAAAACGAGCCACTCGTAAATGCCTTCGCCATTAAATACGTTCACAGTTTTTTTTTTAATTTCAGGCGACGTCAGCTTTTTGTTTGACTTGTTGAAATATTATGTTCACCATAAAATGTTTTTGCGCAGAAAAAAATTGCTTTTGAAAATCCTTTGAAAAAATACTTTTTGTTCGAACCAACGCGACTGTTGTTGGATAATAACAGTGTTTTTTAGCATATTTCGGTGAAATGAACCGTTTTTCACATTTGTTTGTTTTCCCAAATTGGTTTTTTTTAATGTAATCCATAAAACCGTTGGGTTTAATTGTAGATTTCAGTGCAAATGCATAATAATTTAACGATTGCCACACGCAAATGCATTAGGAAAAGCTTCAGCATGTGAAAGTTGATTGGTCAGCGATAATACCGCAAAAAAACAACAACAACAACCGGCCAAATTGTTGCATACGTCAAGTGGTTTCCAAACAGTTCATAGCTAATGAGGCAGTGAATGTGTGCTCAATCTACAAGGCATGCAACATACAATGTAAACAGAGTTTTGGATAAAATGAAACGGTTCGAAAACAGTTCAGTTGGCAGAAAAACGCATTATTCGCGCGAGTTACCTTGACGTTTGTCAATTTGGAGAGAAAAAAAAATTCAGGAAAAATCGAGCTGGAAACCGAGGAAACGCGCTACCATTGTTGAATTAATGAAGTTATACAACAACAAAAAAAACCCGGGCAGATTGGCACAAATGCATTTTCGTCCCCTTTTTTCTCTCTCTTACATTTACGATTTCGTCTGCAGCAACAAACAACAATCAACACAGCAACGATTCGAATCGAGTTGCAGAGAAGAAACAACAAACAGCAGCGACAACAATCATTTTTCGTAGCTAGGCAATGTTCAATTGTAAAATTTCACGATTCGTTCGCCATATCACATGACTGCTTCAAAGACATGCAACATACAAAATCCATTATAACCTCATCTATAAATATGCGGTGCAATAGCGTATACACGTACACGGTCTACAATATTTCGTCGTTATTTTTTCTTCTTTCTCTCGTTGTTGTTAATTTGTCTCGCTTTCTCTTTTGCCCGTTCTCACTCGCATTTATCATTGTCGTCGTCGTCGTCGTCGTAGTCGCCGACGACGTCGTTGTCGTTGACTACAATATGGTGTATACGCTTTTCTCTCTCCTCTTCTTCATCCGAATTATACTCTATTTATTTCGAATTTCAATTGAATAAATGATTATATTTTTAGTTAACATTCTGATGAATGGCCAGTTTGCCTGTGTTCATTTCGACGTGTTCTATCTCTGTACGATAGAAAGGAAGAGAAAAGTTCGGAATCAAAATCAAAGCAAAAAAACGCCAATGCGATACAATTTGCTCAATCCCCGCTATATAATCTCTGTATGTACGCTGTACAGGCAGTGCAGTAACATGAAGTGGTTACACATAGAAAAACACACGGCGCTATAATAAACGACTTGGTATGTAAGTAATATGCACGCCGCTTAGTAACATATAGGCGCAATGTATATAACATTTCCGGAAGTGCGTCGCGACGCCAATTTTGCTAGAGACGCGCCATGCCGACGTTGAGTACTGTTGTCGTAGGTTAGTGTTATGACTATTTTTCCAAGGTAAAGTGTTTTCCTTGTCCTTTTGGCTGGCTTCTTGCTGTTGCCAATATTCGATGGCCGCATTGCAAATTTTGTTCGAACGACTCGAAACGAAACGAAGCTAACTGAATCGTTAAAATTCAATCAATACAAGTGACCGGCAAATTCCTGAACGGATATTGAGTTAAGTATATCGGACGATTCATGTTCATCCAATCCGAAATGGACAACTTTTTGGGGCATAGCATTTTCTCGGGCATACAGACACAGACACATTTTACTATCGGAGTACCAGCAGCGACTCATATTGTTGGATTGCAATTGGAAGTTCACACTATGCTTGGTATAATGTATTTTGCATACTGCTTAGCTACTAATGTGGTGATTTATGAGCCGTAGTAATATTTTCACTACTAATTGGAATGGAGCTAAGCGACATTTTTAACATGAATTGACGCATCTTCCGATTTGCCGATATATTTATCCCAATGCAATAGCAAACGCGAGTAATACTTCCGTTCTCTTTCTCCTTCTTTCGCTTTCCTTGTCTATCTGCCTCTATCAATCTGTTCATTACAGCCAGCAACAGTTGATGCAATTTCAACGTGTCTCTCTACATCGTTTTTCATTCACACAATTGTGATGTGATTATTTCGCTTCAGGTTTTTCTCGCACAACACAATGAATAGTATGTTTCCCTCTTTTAGTTCCGTGCGAATCAAGAGGCTCCTTTGATACACGGTGTGTGTGTATGTGTGAGCGCTATAACGAATACCTCCAGCTTCCCATCACAATGCACATATCTCATCAATAAAAAGCTAACAAGGAGACTGGAGATGTGTTCAACGGAGTTGGACGGAATGATTTTTCGTTTAAAATGGCATTGTTCACACGTGTGCGTACGCACACTCACATACAGACACTCAGACACATATTGAATGTTCAAGGGATTGTTTCCTCCCAAAATGTCTGCATATGCTTTTTTCTGTCTCGTTTAGTTGTGCAGCATTGGCAATGGCGTCGTTTGAATTTAATACTTGGGTATTGAGCACATTGTGAACGTCCTTTATCCACTTCATGTGTGCGAATTGTTGTGAAAAGGGCATGTGATTTCGCGTCTGTTTATGAGATTTACTCGCATCTCTTACCAAACGCATTCAAAGCGATTTTTGTCATTTCAATGTAATTATATTTACAGACTGTTACAGGGAGACTCGAGCAGCAGCAGCAGCAGCAGCAAGAAAAGCCGGGAGTTTGAGCGACGAACACAAGCAC